AGTTAGGAGAAGTTATTAATTATGATTAAATTTAGAGAAAGTGTTCCACACAAATTTTTCTTACACATTCTGAAATAACAAAAGAAAACATATTCATATTAATTTACATTAGTACACGATTATGTAAAATATTTATGTGTGTGTGGCTTAAAAAAATTTACTAAGCTTTATCTGGTATCTTAATTTGTAAATTAGAGACTTTAAATTTAACTTAGATTTTAGTATGCACAGTTGCTTAAATGAATCTTAATTTCCTTAAGGTGCAGAAAAACTGTCAGGAATAAATTTCACATAAACTTTTCTAGCTGAATATTGATCATCCTGATATGTCGCACACTCTTATTTTATTATTTTTTGTGTGTAAATAATGCAATATACTTGTAATATTGAAGAATTTTTCACGTATTTGAAAGTTCAGTTTATATAACGAAAGAGTTGGAAAAATAAATATTATTTATTGAAGTGATGGTAAATATCACACTTCCAGAGTAATTGACCAGAGCTTTTCAAATGTAAAACTAATTTATTGTCAACTTCATGAATGTATTATACTGCTGGCCATCACACACATAAATGCAAAACCCTGAAGGAAGCATGCAAATAACATGAAATTTACAACATGCATTAGCGGAGGTGAGATATGCAAATGATTAGAATATCAGCGCAGACACACGTCACGCGCGCCTGTGGCACCACATCAAAGCTTTATTTAAGGCTTGGAGATTTCGACGATTTCAAGTTCGGCAATTGTGTTTTTCTTGTGGTTTTTTCAAAAAAAGATCTGTTATGTCTCGTAGAAAACAGAGATCAGCTTTTGATCAAGTATCCGAGTTCGACAGAGGAAGGATAGTGGCCTACTGAGATTGTGGATTATCTTTCAGGGAAATCGGTAGTCGTGTTGGACGAAACCAAACAACTGTAATGCAGATATATGACCGATGGATGCAGGAGGGTACGACGGACCGACGTGGTCGATCGCATCCACCTCAGTGCACCACTTCAAGTAAGGACAGGCAAATTGTGCGCATGGCAGTGACGGATCGCTCAGTCACATCACGAACCATAGTACAGCACATTGAGTCTGTAACGTATCATTCAGTGTCTGCGCGTACCATTCGACGCCATTTACAACTGAGTGGTCTATCCGCAAGATGTCCATTGCTTGGTCTACCCTTGACGCAGAACCACAGACGTCTCCGCCGCCAATGGTGCGATGAAAGAAGGATGTGGGTGGAAGAATGGAATGAAGTTGTCTTTACTGACGAGTCACGCATCTGTCTGCAACACCACGATGGTCGGATTCGAGTCTGGAGACAACGTGGAGAGAGGATGCTGAACATCTGCGTTATGCACCGCCACACTGGTCCTGCACCGGGTATTATGGTATGGGCGGTATTGGATATCACTCACACTCCTCTAGTACCCATTGCCGGTACTTTAAACAGCCAGCGCTACATCTGGTAGGTGTTGGAACCAGTTGTCCTTCCTTACCTTCAGGGCTTGGCCACAGCCATATTTCAACAGGGGAATGCGCGACCACACGGGCACGCATTGTCCAAAGATTCTTCGTCAATCACCAGATTGAATTGCTTCCCTGCCGGCTCGCTCTCCAGATCTTTCACCGATAGAAAACATGTGGTCCATAGTTGCTCCACGATTAACCCAGATTACAACCCCAGCTGCCACACCAGATCAACTTTGGCAAAGTGTGGAAACTGTTTGGTCTGCTGTACCCCAAGAACACATTCAAAGTCTCTTTGAATCAATACCGATTCGTGTGGCAGCGGTGATCTCCAACAATGGCGGCTACTCTGGCAACTGATTCTGGCAGGAACCACACTTCACAGATGTTTATAAATTTAATCATTTGATACTTGGTCAACATGTTATCTACAAAATAAATTTTGTTGTGCTATCTCTTGTCTTTCTTGGTGTTGCATTTACGGTGGCCAGCAGTGCACCGGTGGCCTAAGTGCGATGTTTATCTACTGTCAATCAATCAAAAGACGAAGTGATATTGTCATTTACAAGCAAATAGCAGTTCGAATGGACTTTTTCATTCTAAATGTTGCTAAATGCTTCATTCTACTGCTATTATTCCTCATATAAAACTTGCATTCCTACTTATTCATTACGTGACGAGGACAAAGAGGAAGTTAGATTTCTCTTTCCAGAATAATTATTTTTAAGGGGCAGTCACAGAGATATTCTTCAAAAATTTAACAGAATAATAGGTTACATTATTTACATTTCTTGAAAATCGCTCTCATCCCATAAGAACACAATGAGATTTCAGACCTTCCCTTTATTTAAACAAATAAGAGTAGCTTTTCGTGTTCATTTCCTACTCCTATTAACTCAAAACAAGAAATATAAAAAAATTATTTTTAAGTCAGAAACTATTTGTGTCAACAAAGAAATAACCTACAACAATATCTGACATCTGACAGCGATCTCGAAATGTTTGAAGATTGCTTACAACTTTTCCAAATTCAACATAATTTGGATTCCTTGCTGTTCAATTAAGTTCTTTACATTTTCTTTTTGATGTAGTATGATGCTGTAGGTCAATATTTCGAATTTGAATTTCAGGTATATAACAATAAACGATTTGCCGAGATATTATGGAAAAGAATTTTTGAAAATATCAGCACTTTTTATTTATTTTTTATATTCTTCAAAATCATCAATCCTAGGACTGAATGAATCTTTCAAAATGGATATTAAATGTTTAAAACTGTCATAACTCGGGGCATAAATTTGGTAGATAATTCCAGCATTTATTTGAAATGTGTTAATCGCGTTAGTTTCAAAATAGAAAAAAAAAAAAAGGAAAGGCTTAGTTACAAAAGAAGATATATGATCAATTAAGGTAAGAATTAGTACAATTTATCCTTGCAATCTTAAATTCATATTATTTAAATGTCCCATAGTATCTGTAAGAAAATCTCAATTCCAAAGCCAATTTACATTTTTGAGTCGAAAGCAGTTCATTGTTTTCTACCAGATTATTTTTTTTTGAAAAGCCAGTGCACACCACAATGAAGGATTATTTTCTACCTTATAATTTTCTACTGTAATTCAATTAAGTGTATTTGAAATTTTGATGTAATTTTTTTTGTCTGAGTTAAACGCATTTCATTTAAACTGTAAAAAAATAATTAATATTTACTATATTCAAATTTTTCGATAATTCGCGTGCCACTGTTATAGCTCGGCCGTTCTATACTGTGGCAAGCATTCCACGGGTTGGCCATCCCTGAACTTAAAAGTTAACTGTTCCACACGAATTCTCTCTCTCTCTCTCAAACAGGTAGCTCTTAATATACCAAAACATGAGATTTAAAAAATACAGTCGAACCCCAATTTAACGAATTCATCGGGACCGAATATTTTATTCGTTAATTCGGGTTATTCATAATATCACGGTTAAAAAAAAATACAGATTTTTGCACTTAACTTTTGGAAATTATGCTTAAAACTACACACAAAAATATATCCACAGTTTGAAATTATACACTTTTTATTCAGCTGCTGAAAATACTGGTACCATTGAATGAGATAAGAAAGGAATTTTCTGTCGTATTCAAAACTCAAGCGATAGGTTACACTCATGACTCTTCTGCACCTGTAAAGTCTAATAATGGGCTACACCGTTTCCGTCGAAATTTGCGGTTTACAAGAAAAGTCTTTCTGTGTTCCGGACAAAAAGGATGTGTCATTTGAAAAGAAATCGAAATTTTTTTAATCTAAACTAATAAAAAAATTTCGACATTTGAATTAATTCATTTATTCCAAGTTTATTGTTCATTAAACAAGGAGGTGGGGAGAGTGCCTATCTTTTAATAGGGGAAAAAGAAAATTCATTAAATCGAGAGATTCGATAAATATGTTTTTGGTAAATCGGTATCCGATCGTACTGTTATTTTGTGTGAAAATTACCTTAAAAATAATTTTAAAATACGTAATGTGTGTCTAAATATTTGCTATAAAATTTTTGAAAAATCCCATGATTTCCGAGTATTATGTCTGTAACAAAAATAGCTGCTTCATATTCTATTCAGAAATTATTATTTAACAAAAAAGAAAAACTATATATCTACTTCACTGCTTAAATATTACAGGATCTTAGAAAATTAGCCACATTACATACCCAACAATCTAATTTAAAAGTCCAGGTCTCTGTTTTGTAGTACATTTCATATAGCACTTCATCTTATAATCATATTTAATAAATTAATTCTCTTTTTTGTTCTTAGCTGCATTTGTCCATTTTTATTCAGAATTTGCCAAAAATATCGTTTCTTATTTATCTCATCATGTAATTATGTTAAATGACCGTGGACAGTCAAATATGTACACATGTTTTCTTTTCGTAAATAAATACGAAATGAAGAAATTTAGGAAAAAAAAAGTAAAGCTATTTAAGTATCTCTCTGCGAAAGAACAATAATAAGCCTAGAGGAGAATTATCTTCCCTCCCTCTCGGAATACCAAGACAAAAGAACATTTATAAATATTTATTTTTAAAGGGCAATGACAAAGGTGTTCTTCAAACATTTAACAGAATAACCAGTTATATTATTTACCATTTCTTGCAAATAACTTTCAACTCAAAAGAACTCAACGGGATTTCACACACCTTCGCTTTATATAAACAAATAAAAGTAGCTTTTCGTCTTCTTTTCTCATTCCTGCTTTTAACTCTCAAAACAAGTAATATAAAAAAATTACTTTAAGTCAATTCCTACGTGGTCAACCAAGAAATATTTTATTTTAGTTGCTTTTTTATTAAATAGTTACAATTATGTATAGTATATAAATATGTGTATAATGTGACAGAATTAAGTGACATAGTGAAAACCGATTTTCCATTTTCTTTTCTATATATGGTGTTGGACTATTTTTTGTTTGTTTTTTAATATTTATTCATTTATTAAACATAATTATTCAAATTAAATAATATAGTAAAATGGAATTCACATTTTCAGAAATTAGGCCATCCCAGGTGGGATTCGAAACCCATGACCTTCGCATTAGAAGTTCAACAAGCTAACCATTGCTCTACAAAAACAAGGAGAACGATATTCCTTTCTATATATGCTTTTGGACTATTATTATTTTTTTTTTAAATATTTATTCATTTTTTAATTTAATGAAGGAATTAAAATATAATATTTGAAAAAAAATGTATTAACATCAAGTGTCATTCACTAAAAGTTTAAAAATATATATTTAAACTTGAATGGTTGAATAGATAGTATTTTACTAATGATTCAAAATTTGAAGAAAATATATATATATATATATATATATATATATATACATATCTATATTTATATAGGGAGAGAGTGAACTAATATTTTAGGAATTGGAAAAGGAATTCTTTTGAGTTTGAATATGCGTTATATCAAAATGAAATCAAAATAAGTTAATGTACTTTCCTATGAGAAGACTTACAAAAGCATTATATTACCCTTTTATTAACTTTTACAGGTTTATCAGTTTAATATTAGCTTATAAGTTTTCGCGCAATTTTGAAGAAGAATATGCATTACGTGATATTGAAAGTGCAAAGTAGCCAGAATGTGAAGAAACTCGGCAAACAGATAAATACATAAATGAACAATAAGTTTGTAGTTTGGTGGTGTTGGTGTGGGGGATGAACACTTAGCTCTTTAGAGCTGAAATGTCGAGTTGAATGAATGCTAAATTGAATCAAATAATGGTTTCTTGATTTTATATCGGGAGAGGAAAATGATCAGGATTGTGTGTGTAGTTTGGTGTGGTGGGAGAGTACTTAGTTAATTAGTTCCTCCGCGCCTTCATGTCCATTCAGGACATCTGGTGGACATTAAAACGCTTTCAAATTGCCCTTTTTAATAAATAATAATCAAAATTTAAACTTAACTAATGAAAAATAGTAAAAAGAGAAATTACTTTGATATAAATAAATTTTCAAATATAAATAAAATAAAGCTAAAAATGGATGGTAAAAGATCTTCACTTAGAAAAGATTTATTTATTTATTTCTCGTGATGGGTATGGGAGGAGTGCTGCGTAGTTAATCCGGTTGCAGAAAAGATGTTTGAGTGAAACAGAGAAAATATTTGATATATAAAAAGTTAAAATGAGTTGGTATCGAATGGAGTTTCTGTGGAAGGCTGATCACAGAGGTCATTAGTGTTTTGTATTTAAGTTTAGGTGAGAAGCTTCCAGTTATTCAAACAAAAACTTTGATTAACGTTCGCATTAAGGTTAAAGTAGTTAGGATATGTCTGCTATTTACAAAAAAATGACATGAAAAGCTCATTCATATGAATTAAAGGTTGTTTTTTGCTCTTGATATAAAAAATAATGTCAATAGGTAGCTCATTAATAATAATATTTCATTTTTGTAGTAAGGACAAATAAATAAACAGACTGGATAGGAAATGCTTAGGATCAAGATCAATTAATTTTGATAGAAAATAGGATGCATGAGTAAATGTGTATTTTTCAAATTAATAGATCTAAGACTGGGGTGGGTTCAACCTTTTTAGGAAGAGTGCCACTATCTGATTAAAAAATCTATGCGTGCCACTTCTAATTTTCGAACAAAAAAAAAGATAAAAGTGAGTGAATATTAACGTCGCAATGTTGAGCTACACGAGGCCTTTGGGCGTCGTATCCCCTAATTTTGAACCATGGTTAAGAGACGAGGATAACCCCTTAGCTGGCACCCCCTTTCCTAACTACCTCACCACACCAACGAGAGTCTGTTTGAGCTCTCAACTGATTTAACGTGCATCGTGCCTCTACACGGTGGGTCTTTAGTGGTACTGGACTCGAACTCGTGACAAGCCCGCCACGATCCGATACCTTGACCACTACGCTATCGTGGCCACTGAAAATGTAAAATACTTATAGGCTTATTAAGGAATTTTTACTGAAATAACACATTTTTATATAAATGTCCAAGAATTGGAAATTCAAAAATAGTACAATAAGCAATACAAAATTTTATTGTTAACAAACTTTTTACATTTCTCGAAGATGCTAACGAATTCGTTGTTTTAGGTGCATATCAGTAAATTTTGAGCAATGATTTGATTTTATTATATTCATAACATAAAACGTTCAAAAACTTGTTGATGCAAACCTGCAACAATATGTGTGACATCTGACAGCCGAATAGAGAAGTTTGAAAGAAATCCTTTCTCTTACCACTTTTCAAAATTCAACATAATTTGGATTATTTGCAGATCACAGATAAGTTCCTTATATTTTCTTTTTGGTGTAATACATAGTTTCCCGACCTATTTCAACTGGCACCCGCTCTTGTAGTGAATATTTCGATACCGCTCCGTTCCACTCTAGAGAAACAACAGCGTACATGATACATGGTGAAAACAAGAATTAAATTTTAAAAAAAATATTCTATTACTAATAGAATATATCTTTTTAATTTTATTTTTTCCTATGCCCCTAATTTTTTTACTTGCGAATCTGAAATAGCTTTATATAGCTAAATAGTTTTATATAGTTAATTTAATTTCTTCATTATTTAAAAGAGTGGAATAAAATTTGTAGTTTACCTGTTATAAAAACGCTTTTGAAAGTAGGTTTTGATGATATGAAGTAGTCCACACAATATATATATAAACTATTCTTTTCAAAATAAAAAAAAAAATAAAAAATGACCGTTTAAGCCTTTAAGGAATCACACGTTAATTCCTGGTTAACGAGCTTAATTATATTTCTTGGATAATATACGTAATGAGATTCAGTGGCGAAACATTTTTCCTACTGCTAACAGACAAAGACAACACTACACTATAGAAATTAAAATTTACTATATCATTCAATTTAATGTAGGTCTGAATGTAATGTAATCTTTGAGTCTTTTCATCCACTTTCCGAACTACCGAAATATGAGAATTTTCGTATACGTGATAGAAATTATTTAAATACACACAATCGACAAAAGAGGTAACCAGTATCAAAGTTTACTTTAGTTAGTATATAATCAGTTTGTTTTTTTTAGTCTTTTTTTAGACTATATTTCGTTAATCCACCGGAGCGCCTCCGTGGAATTTCAATGCCCCTTATTTTCTCTTGATGCATTTACTGTCCCCCTGAAAGCCTCAAACGCCCACGTTGAGAACCTATGCTGTAATATAATGCTGTAGGTCAATATTTCTGATTTGGATTTCAGGTGGATCACAATAAACGTCTTTCCGAGATATTATAAGAAAAAATGTATGAAAATATCTCAGCATTTTTATTTATTTATTTATTTTATCTTCTTAAAATCATCAAACCTAGCACTGAATGAATTCTGCAAATTGCATTTTAAACTTTTAAAACTGTCATAACTCGGGGCATAAATTTGGCAGATAACTCCTGCATTCATGTGAAATGTATTAAACTTTTATCTCCAAAATCGAGACGGAAAAAGTAAAGGTTTAATCACAAGAAAAGATGCATGATCAATTAAGGTAGGAAAAGTACAATTTTTCCTCGCATTCCATAAATTCACATTTTTGAAATGTCCCATAGTCAACCATCAACAAAAGTCCTCGTGTAGCTGAACAGTACGAAGTTAATATTTACTCACGCACCCAAAAATGAAGGATTATTTTCTACTTTATAATATATTTTCTATTGTTATTAAATTAATTGTATTTGAAACAAATTTTTATGCCTTTTTTTGTCTGAGACAACCACATTTCAATTAAATTGTAAAAAATTTTAAAATTTTTATCTTTTCAAATTTTTCAATAAGTCTTCATGTGCCACTGTTACAACTCAGCCGTACCACGCTGTGACACGCGTGCAATGGATTAGCCACCCCTGATCTAAATAGTTATTTCACACGAATTCAGCCAGGTAGCTCTTTAAGAACCAAAACATGAGCTTCTAAAAAATACAGTCGATCCCCGAACGAATTCATCGGTACCGAATATTTTATTCGTTGATTCGGGGTTATTCATATTATCGTGGTTTAAAAAAAATACAGATTTTTTGCTCTTACCTATTGGAAATTATGCTATCAACTACAGACAAAAGTATATCCACAGTTGGAAATCACACATTTTTTATTCAGCTACTAAAAATACCGGTACCATTGAATGATATAAGAAATGTATTTTCTGTCATATTCAAAACTCAAGAGATAGGTTACACTCATTACTCATCTGCACCTGTAAAGTCTAATAATGGGCTGCACCGTTTCCGGCCGAAATTTTGCTGTTTACAAGAAAAGTCTTTCTGTTACGAACAAAAAGCTTGTGCATTTGAAAAGAAATCTAATTTTTCCTAATCCATACTAATAAAAAAAAATTTTCGACAGAGTTGAAATAATTTGTTTATTCGTTGTTTATTGTTCGTTAAATGGGGAAGGTGCCTTTATTTTAATTCGGGAAAAAAAATCATAAAATCAAGGAGAAATTCGTTAAATAGGATTCGGTAAATCGAGATCCGATTGCACATTTATTTTGTGTGAAAATGGCCTTAAAAATAGTTTTAAAATAAGTAATGCTGTGTCTAATATTTAATATCAAAACGTAACATTTTTTTTATTTATTAAGAACTGAAACAGTATTCGAAATTTTGTCTTAAAAATAGTTGATAGGAATCAGTTACATTTGTATTTTTTCAAAAAATTGCTTGTATTTCTCGAGAACCACAGAGTGAATAGTGACATGACTTTTTTGTGATTTAAATAAATAAGATTTTCCTTTACTTTTTTTATGATTCTTCATATACTTTAATGATTTATGCGTTACAAATTATTTTTTGTGATATTTACACTCTCAAATAAAAATGTAAATAAAACAAAGCAACACCTATGTTTTCTTTCTTTTCCTAAAATTTCTTCTTCCGGTATCGTAACCTGCATTCCGGCATTAAGATCTAAAAAATACCTAATACCGGTATTGAACTTTTGGCCAGATATTGCAAATCCTAAATACAATAGAATAATTTTCTATTGTTCCAATCTTTTCTTCAAAAACTAATCTAAAAAGAGGAAAATGTTAATTCTAGTTTAAATTTAAATTCACGTTAATAAAAAAATGAAAAATAATAATT